TGTAATCCCAGCACTTTGGGAGGCGAAGGTGGGTGGATCATCTGATGTCGAGTTCAAGACCAGCCTGACCAACATGGAAAAACCCCATCTCTACTAAAATTACAAAAATTAGCTGGGCATGGTAGCACATGCCTATAATTTTAGCTACTTGGGAGGCTGAGGCAGAAGAATCACTTGAACCAGGGAGGCAGAGGTTGCAGTGAGCTGAGATCACACCACTGTACTCTAGCCTGGGCAACAAGAGCGAAACTCCATCTCAAAAAACAAAAGTTAGCTGGACATGGTGATGGGTGCCTGTAGTCCCAGCTACTGGGGAGGCTGAGGCAGAGACTCACTTAATCGCTTGAACCCAGGAGGCAGAATTTGCAGTGAGCTGAGATTACATGCCACATGCCACAGCACTCCAGCTTAGTGAGACTCTATCGGGGGCGGGGGGGGGGAGGAAGAAAAAAAAAAAAAGAAAAGAACAAATTATCAAAAACAGGACACCTTTAACTGATCTCAGAGACAGAAAACCAAGCTCTCTCGCTCCCAACTGCCAGTGCGGGACCTCGGTTTCCTTGAGAGCTATGGTGCTTTCCCTCTCTCTGCTCATGGTTTAGGGCCAGGACACCGTGGGTAGGGGGGTGAGGGGCAGGGTCGCTGAGCTCTGCAGGCTAGAAAAGCTAACCCCTGAAGGACGACGGGTCCTTCGCACGGTCCACTCACACGTGCAGTGATGCATCCTGAGCTTTCTTCAGTTGTTGGTGCTTAAGTCAATCAAGGAGTCCAGATTTGGCTAGAGAAACATGCCCTGCAGCCAGGCCACATAGCCCTGCAGGGCCCAAGAGCTCAGGAACCGCATGACCCACCAGAAGGTAGGCACCACTGGGAGACCGTGGTTGGTGGTGGGGGAGAAGGCCACCAGCATGGCCAGCTGCTGCTCAGGGTCATACCAGCATCCCTCTAGGAAGGTGTCCATGTATTCCTCCATCTCCAGGGAACTTCTGGTTTGGGAGCTGTAAGAGTTAGGCATGGCGCTGAGCCCACAGGCTTGTGGCCTTTAGGGTTAAACAAAGGCCCAGGGTCTCCCCTGGCACACAGTAGGGCTGAGCCTGAGCTTGCTCCATTCCTGGTCACCCCAGTGCTTCTGTCTGGCGTCAAGGCCTCCCCGGGTCCGACTTCCCCAGCTTCAGTGCCTCTGGTCCCAAAAGGCCCCTCTCGCCACATTGCTGAGGGGGATGGCATTTTCCTGGCTCAATGCACAGGCAGAGCAGTTGTTAAGAGGCCAGACTGACCCAGGTTCAAAGCCTATGCTGCCAATTCCTCGCCATGTCATCTTCGGGACCCAACCCAACCACCTCTAATGCGCTGCCTCGGGGCCAGGACCCGTGTTCCACTTTTTGTCTGGCGGCTTAGCATTTTAGCAACCCTTTGCGCTTGGCCATTACTGCCATTGTGTAGGTGAGTAAAGTGAGACACAAAAATGCCTAGAATAAATTCCTCAGGGTCAGAGGGCTCCCAGTGGGACCACGTCTGGCCTCACAGCCCAAGCTCTTCTCATTTTAATTTTCTCCAGTTGTGCCCCGGGAGTGCAGTGCCACTATCATGGCTCACTGCAGCCTCGAAATCCTGGGTTCACGTGATCCTCCCACCTCAGCCTCCTGAGTAACTGGGACTACAGGTGCACACCACCGCCCAACCCAGGCTCTTAACCACTGCCTGATGCTTCAAGTCTGCCCCTCACCCAGAATGACAGCTCTTGGAAACTTGCTGCAAAGATAAAATGAGCTGCCGAGAACAGTAAACCCAGCAGCGCTGACTGGGCACCGGGCACACCGGTGCTCAAACATGGTCATGACGACTGTTCTCATCACCGCAACATGGGCAGGGGTGGAGGGTGGTCTGAACAGCCCGCTGGCTACCCACACCTAAGTGGGGGCCCGCTCCTTTTCAAAACTGTCAGAGGGAAGCCGGGCGCAGTGGCTCACATCTGTAATCCCAGCACTTTGGGGGGAGGCCAAGGCGGGTGGATCACCTGAAGTCAGGAGTTTGAGACCAGCCTGGCCAACATGGCAAAACCCTGTCTCTACTGAAAATACAAAAATTAGCTGGGTGTGGAGGTGGGCACCTGTAATCGCAGCTACTCAGGAGGCTGAGGCACGATAATTGCTTGAACCCGGGAGGTAGAGATTGTAGTGAGCAGAGAATGCATCATTGCACTCCAGCCTGGGTGACAAGAGAAAACTCCAACTCAAAACAATGTCAGAGGGGAAGGTGTTCAGGCAGCTCACTACCCAGACAGTGGAGACACCCAGGTCTCTGGCCAGGCTCCTGAGCTGCCCTCTTCCCTTCTTGGCAAGGAGAGCCCCTCCCTAGCCCTTCCAGCAGCATCGGGCTGCACAGGCGGTGCCTACCTTGGCAGTGCACATGTGCTCCATGTAATGGCGGATCACGTCTCCCTGCATCACCAGCTGCAGCTGTTCCTTGGTCAGCAGGGGAAGGGCGGTGCCCAGCAGCAGGCAGAAACACAGGTAGCTAAGAGGGACTATGGGACCGAGCATGGTCAGAGCCCTTGGTCCCCCGGCAGGGACCTCAGGACTGGCAGTCCAGCCCCATTTCAGACAGGGAAGGGGGCCGAGAGAGGCCACATGCCACACGCACCTGGCTGGCCAGAACTGAAGCTTCAGCAGCCCCTGTTCCACCATCCCCTTCCAGAACTGCAGAAACTTGTCTTCCTTGAGTGCCAGGTAGAGCAGCTCCAGGGCGACGGCAGGCAGCTTTCATTCCTTCTTCACTGAGGACACTGCCATCTTCAGCATGTTCACCATCCTGTGGGATGCAGGGGACTCAGGGAATGCTTGCCTCACCAGCAAGGGCCAGTGTGCCAAGAGCAGCCAGGGCACCCCCAGGCTACACAGCCAATCTGGGCTTGGCCAGATGCAGTCCCACAGCCCCAGGGAGAGCAAATCCATCCACCTCCCTCACACCTGGGAACATTCTCATCCGAAAATAGGTGACGGATCCCACCAGCTTCTTGAGCCTAGAGGGAACTTTCTGCTGGGCCAGGAGGAAGAGCCCCAGCTGTTCAGGGCAGCTGAGCATCGCATCCAAGTCAGTGCTGAGGACCTCTGGCAGCATCTCCTGCAACATGGCCTCCGAGACCTAAGGGTGGAAAGGTAAGAAATGGTGGCTTCCTCTGCAGGGTGAGCCCAGTGTGGCCTCTTTTACCTGCCAGCCTCCTGACACAGGGCCATCTGGCCAAGCATCAGAGTCATCAGAGGCCATTTGCTTAAAAACTCAAATTCCCAGGCAGCTGGGTTTTTGACAAGCATCCTGCTGATGCTAACTGGCCCGGTACTACCTGCCTTTTTTTTTTTTTTTTTTTTGGAGACAGAGTCTTGCTTTGCCACCCAGGCTAAGTGCAGTGATGTGATCTCAGTTCACTGTAACCTCCACTTTGCTGGTCCCAGCAATTCCCCTACCTCAGCTGGGATTACAGGTGTACACCTCCATGCCCAGCCCAGCTAATTTTTGTATTTTTAGTAGAGGTGGGGTTTCACCGTATTGGCCAGGCTGGTCTCGAACTTCTGACCTCAAGTGATCCACCCACCTCACCCTCACAAATTTCTGGGATTAAAGGTGTGTGCCATGGCACCCAGCCAGAGCTACCCATTTAATTATTCCTGGTTTTGGGACTTCAGAGGACCAGCCCATTTTATACAAAAGGGGCCCTAGGTAGACAGCTGGGATTCAAATTCAGGTCCTTTTGGCTCTGAGGTCGACTCCTCAGCAGTCCTGGCCTGGGACTTCCCAGCCCCTGCCTTTCTCTTCAGTGGCAAAAAGGCCTAGGTGTACCTTCCCAAGTCGGGCAGTGGAGGCCCAGGAGGGACCAGCCTTGACCAGGAGAACAACAGCAAACGTTCATATATCTGCCATGTGCCGAGTTCAGTTCTAGATCAGCACTAGCCACACGGGGCTGCTGAGCGCCTAAAAGGCAGCAAATCTGAACAGAGATGTGACTACATGTAAAATACATGCTGGATGTTGAAACACACTGAAAAAAAGAGTAATGATACCTCAACGATTTTTTTTTTCTGAAACAGTCTCATACTGTCACCCGGGCTGAAGTGCAGTGGCGTGATCTCGGCTTGCTACAACCTCTGCCTCCCAGGTTCAAGTGATTCTCCTGCTTCAGCCTCCTGAGTAGCTGGGACTACAGGCGCCTGCCACCATGCCTGGCTAATTTTTTGTATTTTTGGTAGAGACAGGGTTTCACCATGTTGGCCAGGCTGGTCTAGAACTCCTGACCTCGTGATTGACCCACCTCACTCTCCCAAAGTGCTGGGATTACAGGTATGAGGCACTGTGCCCCACCAGCTCAACAGTTTTGTATACAAATACATACTGAAATAATATTTTAGATATACTAGATGATGTAAAATGTTACTAATGACACCTGTTTCTTTTCAACTTTCTTTTTGTGAGACAGAGTTTCACTCTCATATGGCTTGGGCTGGCTGGAGTGCAGTGCAGTGGCATGATCTCGGCTCACTGCAACCTCCAACTCCTGGGTTCTAACGATTCTCCTGCCTCAGCCTCCCAAGTAGCTGGGATTATAGGCATATGCCACCATGCCTGGCTAATTTTTTTATATTTTTATTAGAGATAGGGTTTCTCCATGTTGGTCAGGCTGGTCTCAAACTCCGACTTCAGGTGATCCACCCACCTCCCAAAGTACTGAGATTACAGGCATGAGCCACTGTGCCCGGCCTCTTTTTACCTTTTCAACAAAGTCACTGAAACACTTCAAATTATATGTCTTTATATTTCTATGGAACAGTGCTGTTCCTGATTCTCATCTGAGCCCTCTTGATGTCTTTGTAGCAGGAAGTGTCTCCCGAGCCCATAAGGCTGGTGAGCTCATACCTCGAAGAGAATGTCCACCAGGGCTTTCTGGGGCTGCTCCTGCAAGTGGTTCTGATACTGGGCCAGGGCCTGCAGCAGCTTCACTGACTTCCTCAGCACCTCGTCCCCACAGAGGGGCAGAGGGTATGAGCAGGGACCACTAATGTCCCCCACCCATCCAAGACCAGCCTACATCCCCCACCCCACCGTCCTCCCAAAGTTCTCACCTTCACCAGCCAGCCTGACTGAAAGAGGGCGAGCACTCTGAACAGGTCTGCAAAGAGAGCAGTCTCACCATTGACTAGAAAAGGATTCCAGGCACAGCATGAGGGGCCGTGGGACTTCCCACCCCCAGCCTCTCAACCCTGGGGCTACTGTCCTCCCCGGGCCCTCTCTCACCTTCTTCACCTGATGCAGGTCATATTTTTCTTGTATCTGCTGCAGGATGCTGCACAAATGGAGGTCTTCAAAAGACTGTAACAGCTGCCAGGAGAAAGAGGGGCTCAGGAAGTGGCCCAGTACATCCTCACAACTCAACCTCCCTTCCCCCTTCAACTCCTCCCAGGAAGCCTCGGGTGCCTAGTCGCACCCCATGAATGCCTCTGAAGCTGCTCTCGGAATGCCTGCCTGCCCCATCTCCACTAGGATTTCTGAAGTACCGTCTGCAAGTGGTTCTGGGACTGGGACTGGAGCTGAGCCTTGGCAGCTTTCTTTTTGTTTTTTGAGATGGACTCTTGCTCCATTGCCCAGACTGGAGTGCAGTGTCGTGATCTCTGCTCACTGCAACCTCCACCTCTCAGGTTCAAGCAATTCTCCTGCCTCAGCACCCACAGTAGCTGGGGATTACAGGTGTGCATCACCACACCCAGCTAATTTTTGTATTTTTAGTAGAGATGAAGTGTCAACCTGTTGGCCAGGCTGATCTCAAACTCCTGACTCAGGTGATCCACCCACCTCGTCCTCCCAAAGTGCTGGGATTACAGGTGTGAGCCACCACCGCTCCCAGCCACAAGAGTACCTTCTACAGTCCCTAGATTGCTCTGCTGAAATTCTCAGCCACTGGGTATTCTCTCCACAGCCCGGTCTGAACTCCACTTAGGCTGATCCGGCGGGGGGCTTCCCCCTTGTCAGGGCTCCTCAGAGAGCGGGCTACTCCATCAGCTGAATGCCCTGCAGGCCTAAGGGAGCCCACCCCACCCAGCGCTCACTGCTCCCAGCAAGTGTACCTAAGAGGCCGGGTAACGCAAGCACCAGAAAGAAAACCTGCTCTGCTTCCCACTCCCCCTGCCTGGACTGCTTTGGAGACAGGCCTTGCTCACGCTTTCTCCACCTTCATGTGAGGAGGCTCCCTCAGGTTGGCCTCCAACACACTCCCGACTTCTCTGTCGGGCTGCCCCTCCGTCGCGCTGAGACACCCGCCCTCCTCACACCCCACCGTTTCACCTGCGTGGCTGGGATCCTGCCAGGAACAGCACCTCACCTGTGCCAGGGCCAAACTGTAGCAGGGCCGGGTGTTTTCTCGCCAGACCCCGAGTCCCGTGATTAGCCGCTTCAGGGTGTATTTCATCTCAGACCCCTGCGGAACCAAGCGCACCCCTCGCGTGTTGAACGGTGACAAGAAGCTGCACACCCCGTGCACCTTATCATCCAGGTTCGCGACCACGTGCCCCCATCCCAAATCCCTGGGCCCGCCGCCGCTTCCCTTGTCGGGAAGTGCGCGGCCCCTGCCCCAAACCCGCCGCTCCATCTTCGGCCTAGCGCGCAGATACTCCGGCAGCTTCGTGGCCGCAAGTCGCGTCTCCTGCTCAGGCTTCGCAATGTCCCAGAAGTCCAAGAACCCACAGCTGTGTTTTAACAGGCCGTGGCGATCCGCAGGCCGGGCGCTGTTCTGCGTCGCGTCTCCGGGCGACGGGGGCTCGGAGGGTTCCTGTCTCCCCATCTCCGCCACACTCATGGAAACACGCATGCCCCGGATCCAGCCACTTCCAGGTCAGGGCCCGGCGCATGCGCACTGGTTTTTTCAGTTGGCTCGGAGGGGGAACTGGGAGGGGCGGGGCAGGGGACGGGGGAACCAAGAGGAGCGAGGCTGGGGCGGGCACCCAGGAGGGGCATTTCCGCCCTCGCTCTGAGCGGAAGTTCCTCGCTGCGCCGGCGCGGTTTCTCCAGCCTTCCGCTCACGTCCGTTCTGTCCCGGAGGCTGGGGCATCTGCCCCTTTGGAGCCCCACGGGGCGGTTTCTGAGGGTCCATCTCGGAAACCAACTGAGGTGCAGCACATCATCCGCCTCTTCCCAGGGCGGCCCTGTGCTCGGAGCCCTGAGCCATTCAACAGTTACTGACATCTGCTTTGCGCAGCGCTAGGCGGTTGGAACAAAGCGGCCGCTTTCTGGAGGAACTCGGAGCTAAGTGCATCAAAAAAGATCATAATTATGAGGCCGGGCATGGTGGTCACGCCTGTAATTTCAGCACTTTGGGAAGCCGAGGTGGGTGGATCACGAGGTCAAGATATCGAGACCATCCCCGTCTCTACTAAAAATATAAAAATTAGCTGGGCATGGTGGTGCATGCCTGTATTCCCAGCTACTCGAGGCTGAGGCAGGAGAATTGCCTGCGGTGAGCCGAGATCGTGCCATTGCACTCCAGTCTGTATAACAACAGCGAAACTCCGTCTCAAAAAATAATAATAAAATAAAAAGATTCGTAATTATGAAGAGATGGGAATGCAGGGGTCAGAGGAAGCCTTTTCAGTGCTGGAACGTTAATACATCACCGGTTAAAAACATGCCTGTGGGGAAGTTGAAAGGTTTCTCTTAAAGTTTCCTTTCTTGTCAAGGAATAAGCTGCTAGTAACTGTTAAGCTGTGGGGGAAAACCCGGCAAGAGCCGAGGCAAGGTGAAGTCTCAGCATGTTCTCATATAAATGTAGCATTAGTAAACAATCTTGCATGTTCTTCACATGTACCCCAAAACCTAAAATGCAATTTAAAAAACTCAAAAAAGACTGAGATATAGTTATTCCTATATATGATCATAATCATATAGCTATTCATATGTAATCACAACTATTTACAGATGTTTAATCACATAATCACAAATCACATAGCTCTTCATATTAATCATACATATAGGTATGTTGGAGGACACCTGGCTGTGCGACAGTGTCAGTGCTCTGAAAGCACCCGGTTTAGCCAGCTAGGGGAGGACAAATCCAAGATGGCGGGACGTCTTCCTGGGGGAGTAAGGAGAAAAACTCCGCTCCCCCAAGCTCTTGTGGCAGGCATGACGCTGTCAGGGAGGCCCACAGACACCAGGGACTTAACTGTTTCTCTGTGGTGCTGTGCTTGAGTGGTCACATTCCGTGGCTACTTTCAAGTTCTGCTTCTGTACCTGGTTCCTCTTTTTCTTAGAATATAAGAATTAGTAACATAAATCTTAGTGACCTTGTTATTTCTTGACAAGTATAGGAAAAAAGTGCTGATGCCTTAGGTTTTCTCCTCGCCTGGGCCTCAGTCTCCAAGACACATGATTTACATGACCCTTCACTGACCATCATTACCTCATTCTACCTGCTCTTCCCCCTGTAAGTGGGAAGAGCATCCAGGCCTGAGAAATAAATAGTCTGCTTTCTTTTATTTCATATTCTTGTGGCTACTTCCTGTAGCCCAGGAAGTAAAAATTGCGTTGCTAAAAAGATCCTTTGTTCAGTGCCCATTTTTCTTTGCAGCACTGAGCATCTATTTCCACCAGCCACTAATTATCATTCAACAGAGTCTATGGTAATGATTTGAGGGGTTGGTCAGGGAAGGCCTCTGTGAGGAAGTGGCTGGCATTTGGGCTGAGAGCTGAGTGACAAGAAGCCCTTCCCCACACTCCTGCAAGGATCTAAGGGGAGGAAATCCCAATCCTTGCATCTGCAAAAGGCCCGGGGCTGCAGGGGCTGAGGCTGCCAGGAGGCTCAGAGAAGCAAGGTTGCATAGGATCCCAGGCTAGGATTTCACTCAGAGTGTGGTAGAAGTCATTGGTGAGTTTAATGCAGGGGCAGGCCTGGATCCGATTTAAATTCTCACCAGGTGATACTGGCTACTGTGTGGGGAATGATGGATTGTAGGTCCACAGAAGTGGAAAAGAACAGGAAGGACGGTTAGAGACAGTGGGTGGACTGGACCCAGGGAAATGAGAACAGGTCAGATTTGGGCTGATGTGGAGCAGGTGTGGTGGGTGATGGATTGGATGTGGGGAGAGAGGAAGTGAGGGGGATGCCAGGTTTGGGGGACTAAAATAACTGAGTACATTGTGGTGCCATTACTGAGCTGGAGAAGAATTTTCTTGGGAGTAAAAGGTGGAGGTCATGGGAATAAGGGTCTATTAAATCAGAGGAGCCTTTTACAATGGCAGGGAAGGGAAGCGCTGCTGGTCACATTTGCTTCCTGGTTTGAGAAGCTGTTTTTAGAAGGCTGTGGTCCAGAGAGGAACTAACGCTGTGAGGAGGTCAGGGCTACCCTTCACCTTGAATTTCCACCCATTCAACTCCAACTCATCCTCTCAACTGCTTCCCTGCTTTTCTGTCTGTTCTAGAAAGTGAGATTAAAACATTTACCTTGCACATCTAGTGCCCCAGGAGGCAGGAGGTGAGCGGAGCCGGGGTGGAAGCTGAAAGATACCAACCCAGGCTCTCCCCTCTCTGTTTACTGGTCACCTGTGCTGCCCATCAGGGAAGCCCCGACTCCAGTTGCTTCAAGGTTGATGGAAAATTAACCAAGAAGCAGGAATGGCTCTTGGCCTCCGGGAGACTTGATCTTTGTTTTGTATTAGTCTGGTTGAGGAAGATGGATAGAGGGTGCCCTGAAGGGAAGGACGGGATGCCGAATACACAGCAGTACCCTGGGCTCTGCCTGCCCTGCTCCCCGGGGCCAAGTGCTTGCACTCTTTCTGCTGTCCTTCCAAAAGCTGGATCTGAACTCAGTGCTTGCCCGGGCCCTGTTTGCTTTTTCCTCATCACCGTCGTGTTCCTTAGCTGGCAAAGGAGCCAGCGATTCCCTCAGTGTGGGTGGTTTGGAGAATGATGTGCTAGCTCTGGATCCCGCAACTCAAATCTAGCTAACGGAAAAAGCCAAAGGTTGGGGGCCTGAGCCAGCAGTGAGCACATAATAGATGCACACTCTTTTTAGAAACGAGGTTTCAATCTTGCTGCCCTGACTGAAGTGCAGTAGTGCGATCTTGGCTCACTGCAACCTCCACCTCCCAGGTTCAAGCAATTCTCCTGCCTCAGCCTCCCAACTAGCTAGGATTACAGGTGTGCACCACCACACCCAGCTAATTTTTTAATATTTTTAGTAGAGATGGGGTTTTGCCATATTGCCCAGGCTGGTCTCAAACGCCTAGCCTCAGGTGATCCACCTGCATAGGCCTCCCAAAGTGCTGTGATTACAGTCATTAGCCACCATACCCAGCCATTATTATTATTATTATTTCAAAAGACAGGGTCTCACTGTTTTCCAGGCTGGAGTGCAATGGTGTAATCCTAGCTTCCTGCAGCCTTGAACTCCCGGCTCAAGCAAGCTTCCTGCCTCAGCCTCCCAGGTAGCTGGGACAACAGGCATCTGCCACCACACCTGGCAAGTTAAAACTTTTTGGTACAGACAAGCTCTTGCTATGCTGTACTAGGCTGGTTTCAAACTCCTGGCCTCAAGGAATCTTCCTGCCTGCACCACCCAAGTGCTTGAGATGACAGGTGTGAGCTGGGGTACACTCCCTTGCTGGCTGGGTCTGCTCTACTTTTGCCCCAGGCTTCAGATAACTCTGCCTTGTGCCAGAACCACCCCAATCCTGTTAGATCCCCTGGTAGGGGCAGCAGCCCATGGGGGACATGGGAGACATGCATGTGCTCTGCATAGGCTGCCACCTGCAAGCAGGATCCCTTGACCACAAGTGCTGGGCTGCTCTGTTGGTTCTTGCTGCCCTGGTGCTGGTGCTGGGCCTGGGTTTGGGGCTCTGCCAGATGGCTGAGTATGGTGTGAGTCATGGCTCTGGCATATCAGGGGTCCCTGAAGCCACTAGCCCAATACATTGGCCTCTGTGTCATCCAGGCTGGAGGATGAGGGGGCAGGCCCAGGCACTAGCAGTAGACATGGCCGTCGTGTTGCTGAGCAGAACCCCCGTGCCTGGGAACAGGTATGCAGAACCAAGGGAGCCATTGCGAGAGGAGGTGAGAAGGAACACAGAGCCGCTGCTGTCCATGGTGGCCAGGGTGCTGCTCTTGGGGCTCAACAGCAGTTTGCAAGAGACTGGTGGGCCGGGTCAGGGCTGGGTTGCCCCAGACCTAGGACTGCCTCCAGCAGTGCCAGCAGCTCTGGGCCAGCTGAGGGACTGGGGGGGTGGGAACAGGATGCCTGGGCCATGGGTAGCTGCTGCGCTGGTTCCAAAGTGGGCCTGGGCCCAGCCAAGGGCACCTCCTGCCAGCAGACTCAGTAGTGAGTCCCCGGCAAGGTCTGAGGTGGGAGCGAGGGCTGCCCTGTGAAGCACATCTGCCAGCTGTGGGTTGGTGGCTCAGGCTCCAGCGCCCAGGGGCATCCCATCAGGATGGCAAAGCAGTGGACAGAGACCTGTGCCCTGAGCTGCCAGGGCCCTTGCCATGGGCTTGTCCACCAGGAAGCCCTCCTGAGCCAGTGTGGTAGGGCCGACTAGCAGGCGTGGCAGGGCAGGCAGCCAAAGCATATGTGCAGCAGGTACAGGGTGGGCAGAGCTGCAAGCAATGGCACTCCAGGGGCCAGGGGCCAGGATCTGTGCTGGGCCTGATGTCAGGGCCGTGGAACTGCCCGAGGAGCTATCGTGGAAGAGAACCAAAACATGGCACATGCAGGAGACAGAGGGGTCACTCAGCAGTCGCTGAGTCAAGGGCTGCTGACCTTGTTTCAGTCAAGATCCTTGACTGAGTCTGGGCAATCAGGAGTGACTGACCATGCCTGAGGTCAAGGTGACACAGACCTGGCTCAAGGGATGGTGACTGCTGCCCAAACTCTG